TGTGTGTGTGTGTGTGTGTGTGTGTGTGTGTGTGTGTGTGTGTGTATCTGACAGGGGCTTCACGGTGAGCTACATCTGCAGACCTTTATTTTTTACTTTGGACAGTGTCTTTCTATGTTGCCCAGGCTGAGCCTAAACTTGTGACTTTCCTGCCTCAGCCTCCAAGAGTGCTGGAATTACATGTCAGCACCACCATGCCTGACTGCTGGGGGCATTTAGGTGGGTCCAGCTTTGAGCAGGATGATGAGGGCACATATACCCATCCCTCCTCTGTCCTCCCCGTGGATCTGTATGTGCCTGTGTACAGGAGTGAGTGAGGAATAGGTTGCTGGGCCTCTCAGGCAGATGCCAGGCTTTGGATACCCAGTAATCAGTTGCATATGGCTGGCTTTCTCTTGAGAGTAAACTTACACTGGGTGGCCCCTGTGTATGAACTGTCTCAGGGTATTTTTTCTAACTGTGGGTCAGAAACCACTGGTGGGTCATCACATCAACCTGGAAGGATCTCAACCAGTATGTTTTTCTAAACAGAACAGAAAGAAAAGAATAAGAAATACCAGAACGGACCACACGTTTATTTCAGTGGTTGGACCTCACGTGTTTTACTGGGCCATTGTGTAGACTGTGTTCCTTACTAGCGGTTGTGTTCAGATAGTGGTCAGAGGTTGCTTTCCACAGCACTCGTCCGTCCCTGGCTGGCTCCGTGTCACTCACAACAGTGCGTGTCTCATCCTGCCCCCCAGTCTGCCAGCTTTGGGAAGTGGGATTAAAGTCTGGATTACTTTTCCTTTACTGCGGTGATTTCTGTACCACCTTACACATGACAGGTGTTTAGGAAATCTGTTTCAAATCTACTTTGCACTTTTATTGCTTCCAAATAAACTTCTAACACATACTTTGAGGACTGCCAACTGCTATTTGTGATCCTCTTTTGATCAGTTAATACCAAGTAGGCTGGTGCTGCGCAAGCACGGCTCTGAACCATATTTTCCTCATTTGTACACATGCAGGCCCAACAGACAGGAATGCGGCAGAAACGGTGTGGCTACTGTATGGATTTGAACTTCTGCTTTTCAAAGAGCTCCCGCAGCTGCTGCTCAGTGGTGGCCTCCTTCTGCTGCATCAGCTCAGCTGTCCCCTTGGTCACTCCCCAGGCATCAGGCTTGGACAGCGCAGGGCTGTAGGGCCTGCCTGAGGCTATCCGGAGACTCTGCCAGTATTCCTTCCTGGCCCTGTGGGACCAAAGCAAAAGCATCAGCTCCAGCCCTGCATGTCCACTCTGTCACTGAGCTAGAAGATACCCTGGGCCACCTTCAGACCCCGAGAGATAAAGATCTTTACCTCTGAGCAGGTAAAGATCCTTTTCCCCTCGAACTGAGGGTCAAAGCTGTTAAAAGATTTCCTCTTTTAACATATGCAGAGGGATCAAAAGCTTAGCATTTGGGGGGTATTTTCTGTGCAGTGTACATGACCTGTCCAGCCCCGCATCCCGCCCCTGTATCTCCTGGGCTGGCTCCGAAGGCTTCTACACCTCTCCTATGGAATCTGCTTCTTTCCTTTTCCCTTCTCTTTCCCTGTCTCCCTCTGGCTCAGGCCGCCTCATCTCTGGGACCGCAGCTCAAAGGGGTGCACAAGGCCTTGGCATGCTCACTCGGTCTGCCCTCACACCCACCAGTCATGCTCCCGGCCCCTTGTGGCCTGCGCAACATGGCCTCTTCAGCTCCCCACTGGGCTCAGACTTAAGATTTCTAGTGCAAGGTCTCCTCCTAGCCCAGGGCTTCCCGCAAGCTGTCCCTGTGTCTGCGACATCATTTGCTCTTCAGAATTCAGCGCAGGCAGCCTTGGGTTCCGCCTCCACTGGCCCCCTATGCCCTTTGCTTCTGCCTGAGGCTGCGCCTGTCTCCCTTGATGGTGGAGCCCCCTTTTCTGTCTACTCTGCTGCTAACCCTTGGGGCCAGGGCTGTGCCTGCCCGTGTAGACACAGCAGTGTCTGGTAGGTTGTGTCAGCGATGTCTGCTGAGCCGTGTAGAATGGCTGTGCTCGTCAGGCTGCCCTCCAGCCTTCCTTCTCCACCTCGCCTTCAAAACCCAGGCCAGAAGACGCTACTGGAGTATCTTTCTACTCGACAGTTAGTTGTTCTCTTCTCTTGTCACTGTGCTACCCGTTCCTCTCCCGTAACAGTTACGCAGTATAATATTATGGGTTTCTTATCCATTTCCCCCATGGCCTGTGAGAGTTTCCAAGCCACTGGCCAGATTTCCATTTCTGTAGCATTCCTCATTTCTGCACCTGCTTGACATAAAAATTTGTTTTGCTTATGATTCATCTCTACCACTGGAATGTAGGCGCTGAGGGCAATAACCTTATCTATCTTGTTGACTACTGCATTCCCACCGCTGCAGATCTTGACACAGACCACTGAGGATTGCTGTGTTTAAGTTGTTTTTGACTCTTATAAATCCACATGATTCAATCTTTGTGACTTTCATCACCACTTGTATTGCTTATATTCTATGTTCTTGGAGCCTTCTCCACAAATCAGCTCATAAGGCTGCTCTATAATCACTTCTGGAGAGAATTTAATCATCATATTAGTTGCCCTCTTTTGGTGGTCTCGCTTAGACATTGACTATTCCGATCCAAACCAGTGTGGGCTGGCAAATGGTGCTTACCTCGCTCTAATCCAGGGCTTGGTGTGCATGTCCAAGCCACTTCCCCAGCCCCCGTGCTTTTCCGAAGCAGGTGGCAAAAATCCCCTTTCCGGGGCCAGCTCCTCCGCAATCGCCCTGATGTGGTAGGGCTCGAACCCACAGCACCCGCCGATGTACCGGACCCCCAGGTTGTAAGCCTCTCTGGCGTATTTGTGAATATCCCATCGGGTGGCAACTCTGGGCTCCAGTCCTGTGATAAATGTCATTATGTCTGAATAATTTTTATCAAAAAATCCAAGATACAAAAAATCCAAGATCAATAGCTGTAATAAAATTTTCAATAAACTACATAGGCTGGAGATACTCTTTTCTTAGATTTTAAACAGTGGGGACTCTGGACTGACACATTCAGTCTCCCCTCCAGATGACTCCAGCCAGCTTCTCCCTGTCTGTGCATGGGGGTGACCTGGAGGCTGGCAGTGTGTGCAGGGGGATGCTATGTGGCCTCAGGCCAAGTTAAAGAAGACACGTTGGCTTCTGCCTGCTTTGCTTGGAGAGTTGGCCCCGGGAGCCAGCTGCTGTGCTGCAGAAATACTCTAGTATCACAGTGGAGGCCTTGGAGCTGAGGGGTGGGGCTCTCCACCCCCAGACCGCAAGCACCTGCACACATGTGCACGTAGATCCCCACTGCCCACCAGGCTCTGGGTGCCCCAGGCCTGGCCAAGCTGAAGAAAACCTGCCCAGCTCCACTGTGTCTGCATTCTGACCCCAACACCATGAGATGGTACATGTACAGCAAAACCAACCAAATGCCAGGCCAGCCTTCCTATGTGTTCCTTTTGGGTCATTATTTTAATTCTAACCCTTTATAATGTCTCTGAGCATCACTGTAGGATACAGAGTTCAGGATAAGGACCTTAAGAGTCCTGGAGGAGGCTGGCGGGCTGTGCCCTGGCGACTTCAGCAGCTTGATTTTCAAAGTGGGCTCACCCCATGTTATGGCTTGTGTCTAGATGTGTCCCCAAAGCCTCATGCACTCACAGGTGGGGCTTTTCAGTGGGGGCTGGATCTAGAGTGTGTGATGCTAGGATTCCGATTAGTACATCAGCCCACTGACTGGTTTGGTACCACCCTAAACCAGGAAACCTACATAAAGTATAACAGGGGCAGAAAGAAGCTGCATTTGTTGCTTGGAACTGCTGCTTGCAACTTCTGCCTTCTGCCTGCCATGAATTGTTTCTTCTCTGCCATCCTCCCTGCCTTGGAGCCAGCTGACTATGGACTGAAACCTCTACAAACTATGAGTCAAATAAACTTTTCTCCCTTTAACTTTGGGTGTTGGGAATTTTGTCTCAGCAACAAGAAAAATAAGATACCCCACTCCCCAGGATGTGGAGAGACTCACTCCTCTGTGGGCACCCCAGGAACCCCTCTTCAGCTCCTTTACAGTGATATTCTCAGAGAAACGCACACAATGGAGACAACTGGTTTAACTGCCGGGTTTTTCTGATGAGAAATAAAGACCTAGAGGAACTGAGGGATTTCTCCCTCAGACCACATAGCAGACCTGCAGTCAACCACCAGGGGGGGGCCCTTCTGCAGCTTAAAAGGGTGACTGACCCACCTCCAAGTTCATGGGGAGCTCACAGCATCCCCTGCCCCGTCTCCTACTGTCTAACATCAATGGGGTTTGGGCTGTAGGACAGATGGGAGCTTTGAAGCCATAGCTTCACCATGACAAAAGTTCTCTGGCTGTATTTATTTAAAGTTTATCAAGCAAAGATAGTGAGACGGTTTATAAAAGCATTTGTCTTACCAAAGGGGAATTCTGGGAGATCGATAAAGCCCTGCTTGCTGCAGTCGGGTGTGTGGTAGGCCAGGGGCTGGCTCATCAGGTAGGCTTTGAGCCCTGCCGCTTCCAGGCCCTCCTTCATGAGCTTCACTGTCTGCAGGCTGGTGGTGGGGTCGAAGTGACAGTTCACCCCCACGATGGAGGCGCCTGCAAGCAGAGCACAGGTGAGTGCTGCCCTGCCTCTGCTCTCTGCAGGCAGCCTGTTTCTGGGGTGATGAACTCTAAGTGCTGCATCAGACCACACCTCCCACAGTCCAGCTCAGCTGTGAGCAAGACTGATTACTCGTGGGCAGAAGCGAAAATGCTTCCAAGAGTTTGGTATAATTGAAGTGTCATTTATGCACACTGAGCTGTCCATCTTTTTTCCTCCAAAAAATCATTATTAGAGATTTTTCTTTTTTACTTCAAAGTTTAGTAGTCCGTTTTTCAACACTTGACATTTCCTGGCAAGCACAGTAATTCCCATCACTCCCAGCTGCTGCATCGCACCTTGCTTACCATGGCACTGCTCATTTGAGGTATAAATAAGTATCCCTCTCACCACACCTGTTTCATAGCTTCACTAGGCTTCTTGGGAAAAGCAGCAGGAAGAAGGTCGGTATTTGATTCGGGGAGAACAGAATGTGCTTTAGACACTGCAATCTTCAAAGACTGTCCTCATAGTTGTGATATTAATTGCATCTGGGCCAAAGACGCTTGATCGTGGCACTGTTAGACATGATTTTAGAAATCTCCTGCAGAAGATTTGCAGAGACAACCTCCTGTCCAAATGGCAGGTTTCCAAATCGAACTTTTCTTTTTGCTTTTTGTTAAGATGTTGGTAAAATATATAATCACAGAATTGGCCTTTCTAGTCACAGTAAGTGCGCAGCTTGGTATTGTTGCAGTCATAGCACTGTGCAACCATCACTGCTGGTTTGGTTTTGGAGACAGCGTCTCACTCTGCAGTTCAGACCGGCCTTGAACTCACTATGTAGCCCTGGCTGGCCTTGAAATTGTGATCCTCATGCCTCAGCCTCCCAAGTGCTGGGACTACAGGTGTGCGTCACCACGCCTGGCCATCATCACTATTTACACAGATTTTTGTCACCCCAGAGAAGCACTCTATACCAGTTAAGCAAAAAACTCCTAATTTCTCCATCCTCCTCCTGCTCTGGGCGATGACTAATTTCCTTCTGTCTGTGAGCTTGCCCTTTCTGAATGCTCTGAGTAAAGTCATGTCTTTTGCTTTTTGTGCAGCTGTGACTGGCTTATTTCAGTGAGCGTGATGCCTCCTGCTCGTCCCCACTACTGTATATATCAGAGCTGCACCTCTTTGTGTGGCTGAATACTACTCCAAGGCACGGATGTGCCACATTTCACTGATCTACTCCTCTGCCTGAGCACTCGGGCTGTTTATTCCTGGGGTTTGAAATGAGGAGATTTTGAAAGCAATCTGTGAGCTTCTCCTAATTGAAATGAAACCCAATGGAAATTGTACAAAAAGATATATGAGGTGGTATTTCATATCAAAGATTTTTTGATTTATTATACCAATTACAAAAAAAGCAAAGTGTGCTCATAATTTATGAGAATGGAAAAACTTTGGCAAATAGGTAGGCCAACTAGCCTGAAGTTATAAATGTTTGAAGACCTCTATTTGAGACAAGTCTAAAAAATACAATGTATCCTACTGGGTGCACGGCACACACCTGTAATCCCAGCACACAGGAGGCTGAGGCAGGAGGATAACCATGAGTTCAAGGCCAGCCAGTGCTACATAGTGAGACCCTATCCCAAAACAAACAAGCAAACGAGTATCCTAGTATTTCTTTTGACTTAGCAGCACATTCAGTATTCTCACTTCTAGGTGTCAATCTCCAGCACAGGTCTAGTCACCCCTTTTAAGAGGCTGGTGTGTGTGTGGTGTGTGCACATACATGTCTGTACACTTTTCCCCCTGGGGACTTAGTACTGATTATTTCCAAGTAAATCAGAGGTTCCCGTTAGCAAAAGGAATACACACTGATGTTTCCTGGGCAGGTCACACTTGTGTCTCATTTTAAGAGAGTCACTAATTGTGACAGCTGAAATGTGTGGTCACCTGCTTTCACGAGGCGCACAGCACACTCCCCGGGGGACACGCCGTGCAGGTCGCCCTCGGGCCCGATGCACATGGTCGCTGCCACAGGTTTCCCAGATGCTTTCAGGGCCTCCACTGCCCACACAGCTTCCTCGACGTGTTCGAAATACTGCAACGGGTTAGGGTGAGAGCACTTTCATTGCACTTGCCACTACACCCCGAGAACACTTCCTTTACTGTTCAGTTAATGCTGCAGAGAAGGGAGGGGCGGTTTCTCAGTGTGCACCAGAGCCCAGAGACTCGAACAATGCCCTCACAGATTGCCTGCATCACATGTCACAGGAGCTTTCAATCGGAAAGACTAAGAAGTATTATTGTTGTGATGGGCGCCTGCCCCACATGGGAATCACGGAGAGCCGACCGAACACGCGTCCTGTCTCTGATTGGGCTGGGCTTACCTCTGCGATGAGGAAGTCCACGTTCTTCTTCATAAACACCGCTAGCTGCTGCTGGAAGATCTTCTTCACCTCACTTTCACTCTTGCAGCTGAGGTAGGAAGGCGTCTGACTCACGCCCCCTGCGACCAGAGCATCCCCCTCGTCAGCCACCTGCCGGGCAATGTCGCAAGCAGCTTCGTTGACTTTTTCCCCCTGAGGTGAGTGAAGAGGGAACACATTTACATTTTCATGAGAAGCTGAGATAACAATTCTTATTCAAGTGTCCACAGTGCAATTTTAGGGTAACAATTATGATTTTACTCTGGAAAAGGACAGGTATAGAGCAGGTCGGTGCTTCACCAAGTTGAGCAGCTTGCAGAAGCACTACTAGTGATGCTAACAACCATTCTATCGATGGTGTCAGGAACACAGCCCTGCACCACAGATCTGGGGGCAGATAAAGCTTTTAGATGAAGAGCTCTGATCTGGTTTCTTCCTCTAGAAACACTTAGAGGAGGAGCACTTAGCAAACTGTGATGGAAACAATGGTTACTGGGTTGGTTGGTTGGTTGGTTTGTTCAGAAGAGGTCTCATTGTGCTCCCTATGTTGCCCAAGTTGACTGTAAAGTTATGATTCTCCTGCCTCATCAGCCGGAGTAGCTGGGATTGTACAAGGTGTATTCTAGGAGATTTGCTTTAATTATTAAGATAAAAATTTAATTAAAATGGCAACAGAAATCCTGACTTTTTGTTCTTATGTATTTCCTCAATTGTTAAATGTATAATTAGTAAGATGTATTCTAATTATTTAGAAAATTTGAAAACATGACCCTGAGCTGGAGTTGAGTTTTTGTTTTTTTCCTGACGGGGTCTTGCTCTGCTCCCCAGGCTGGCCTCTAACGCCTGGGCTCCAGCACTGATCCTTCCTCAGCCTCCCAAGTCGCTGTGAGTACAGGAGTACAGCTGAGCCAGGGGCGTAGCTCAGTGTGGAGCCAGTGAAGTACTGTGTGATCTCCAGCATGGCCAAGAAGAAAATAAAACCCATTTTTGGTTTCAGAAGTCCCTGTGTGCTTTGCAGTGCAAAAGGCTTGGTTTGGGTGGGGTTGGTGGTTTTCCAGCAGATCAGAGCCAACTGCCGCAAGCAGCCGACTGCCGCAAGCAGGCTCCAAGCACCCTCGTGCTTCTGCTCATGGCCTTTCCTCCACTGTGCATGGTAATGGGTGAGTGTTCAAGGGTCCCCTCTTTCCTCAGCACCTTCCTTGAGGCTGGGGGAATAGCTGATTGTTAAACACCTCCCCTCTAACTGCTTCAATAAATGCTTTTCTTTTGCCTTTAGAGACTCCCAGTAAACCAAGAAGTGGCATTCACCTGCCTCACATTCTGCCTCAATTCTAAGAGGCTCCAGGCTTTCTCTGTGAGGGTCTGTGGCTGGATGTGTATGTGCTGCCCTGCAGCGTGCTGGGCTTCGTACTCACAGATATTTTCTCTGCCACGTAGTTGCCCCTGTTCTCCAGCTTGTCCTCGCTGGCATAGAAGGTGAAGGTCTGCATGACATTGGACCCGGCTCGCAGGAACTCGCGATGGAGCTGGCGAACTGCAGATAGGCCGCGCAAGGAAGGTGGTGAGTTTGATCCAACCATTAACCCATGACACTTCAAAGGCTCACAGACAAGCATGCAGTGACTGCTTAGCTTTCTAGCTGCTTGACACCTGAACGTCAGGAGGGCTAACAAGGGGCACCTGGGGTCTCCCGCCAACCTGTGCTCTAAACTGAGGGGTAATCAGGGCAGGTGCTCACAATCGTGTATGTGCCCCTGGTGTTTGTTATTTATTTTGTTCACTGTCAATCTGTTCATCGGTCATTGACTGCATTTTGGAAGGTATTCATGGATACAAGGATGAACAACTGTTTTCCTGTGCCTGGAAAACTATAATCCATTGACCAGGAGGAAACGGACAAGGGTGCCACTCTCACAAGTCCTGCTTTTCAGTAAAGTACTCAACAGTTTAGTCAGAGCAATGAGGTAAGAGAAGTACATAAAATGATACATACAGGAAAAGAAGAGGTCAAACTAGCCTTCTCCACAGATGATGTGACTTTTGTGGAGAAGACCCAACAAGCGCTGTGAAAAAACTCTTAAAACTAAGAAATTCAGCAAAATCAATATACAAAATGTACAATGAACTCACTGAGAAGCAGGAAAACAATCCCATTCATAAAATAGTTTTAAAAATTAAATACCTAAGAATTAACCTAACCAAGGAAGTGAAAATCCTCTATAATGACAACTGTGGCACTCTGAAAAGAGATTGAAGATTTCAGAAATGGAAAGACATCTTCCACTGCTGGATAGCAGGACCAATACTACCCAAATGGCCATATTACAAAAAAATGGTATATAGATTTAATTCTGTCCCAATCAAAACAATAACAGCATTCTTCACAGAACTAGGAAAAAAAAACACCCTAAAATTAATTTGGAACCAAAAGAAATAGCAAAAACAATCCTCAGCAACAAGAGCAAGGCAGGACACATCACAATCCCAGATTTCAAATTACATTACAAAGCTACAGTGAGATAAACAGCATGACACTGGCATAGAAACAGAACTGTGGATCCAGAAATATCCCCAGGCACACTCAGCCATCTGATCTTTCACATGGGGGCCAAAAGGATGCTGTAGAAAAGATATCTGTTCTACAAATGGTGCTGGGGAAACTGGCTTCCCATGTGCAGAATGCATCTAGACTCCTGTGTCTCCCTCTTACTAAAGTGAAATAAAAATGGATCAAAGACCTAGAAATAAAAACAGAGACAATGAATTTTTCTGGAAGACAAAATAAGTAAAACTTCTGACAACATAGACAGAGGCAAGGGTTTTCTGAGCAGAATCCAGAAATGTACAGGAAATAACCAAAAAGTAGGGTCACATCAAGTGAAAAAGCTTCTGTACAATAGAGGAAACCACCAACACAGTGAAAAGACAGCCGACAGAATGGTAAGTTTCTCACCAGCTACTCGCTGGACAGAGGACTAACATCTAGAATGTATGAAGAACTCAGAAATTAGTGCCCCGGTAAAAGACTGGATCAAAAATAGGCAACTGAAATGAAAAAGTACTTCTTAGAAGGAATGGCCCACAGTTACGTGAAGAAAAGGAATGGCCCACATCTTGGGCTAGTAGAGAAATGTGAGTCAAAACAACACTGAGCGCCCCTCCCACTCTGCAGAGAATGGTGCCACCAAGAGCCCGAATGACGACAAGTGTTGGCAAAACTGGGGCAGAGAAGGAGCCCTTCCGCACTGCGGGTGGGGGAGCAAGCGAGGACAGCTGTGCGGGAACCAGTGTGGAGACCTCTTAGAAAGTGAGATTTGAAAGTCCACTTGACACAGCTGTATGTTTTCTGGGTATCTTCTTGAAAGGGCTAAAGACACCGTATCACAGTGATCCACGCATACTCATTTAGTAGCAGCACAACCCGTAAGAGCTAAGTCTTAGAAATAGTGTATGCGCTCATCAGCAGATGGATGGGTAAAGAAAATGTGGCATATACACACAATGGAGTACTACTCAGCCATAAAAAGGATAAATTGGAGTCATCTGTAGGAAAATGATGCACCTTGTGTCCATAATACTACAAGAAATAAGGACAGAAGATTAAATATTGCATGATGTCTCTTGCATGAGAAACCCAAAGTATAAATAATTTAAATAATTTAAAGAGCAAAAATTTTTTTAGGCAGTGTCTTGCTATGTATTTCAGGCTGGCCTCAAACTCACAGTGCCCCTCCTGCCTCAGCCTCCTGCGTGCTGGGATCACCACTACACCTGACCTGGGCTTTCATTTTTAAATGGATAAAGGAGGGGAACAAAAGTTTCTGTATTTTTGAAAACACATTTTTAAGCTTGAAGCTCTTCTATGATTTTTTCAAAATCATGGACCCTTTCCTTCTCAGTAGGAATGGAACTCAAAATCCCCCTTTACGTTAGTGGGCTTTAAGCCTGGTTTAAGTAGCAACACAATCAATTAGAAACATCTTCCCAGAGTCCCACGGGTCAGTGAGACATGGAATTGCTCAGTTGGGCAGAAGCCTGTGGGGCAGAGGGGCTGTGGACAGACTGGGACCCGGATGCCAGGGTGGAATGGTTCTTACTTGGTAAGACCACGTAAGGTCTTACCAAGGTAAGACCAGGTAAGATTTCCAGTGAATGCATGAAAAAAATCCTTGAAAGACATACAAATTATTTATCTACATTTTACAGTGCAGAAAGTCTAGTTTTCTTTCTCTTGTGGCACTGGAGACTGAACCCAGAATCTTCACTTTGAGCTCTATCTCCTTCCCTTTATATTTTTTGAGACAGGATCTTGCCAAGTTTCCCAGGTGCACTTGAATCTGCAATCCTCCTGCCTCAGCCTCCCCCAGTGCTGGGATTATAGGCCTGCACTGCTGTGTCTCAAGCTGAAAAAGCTGATCAACTTTTCAGAGTTTTCCAGAGGGCAATGGCCCCAGGCTGATGAGGACTCTGCACTAAGTTGCTTATTGCTGTGCTTCCTAAACTGAGGTGCTTCTCTGCAGAAGGCCCACCTGGGGTGCCTGGGGTCCCAAACTGCTCTACAGCACGCTGTAGTTTTTTTGTACTTCTTTTTCGGCAGAAATAGATGAATAAACCCAAGAATGCTACCAAGAGAAGACACAACTCAGCCCACTTTATCGCAGGTGCAGCGTGATGACTGGGTGCCAGGTGCTGTGTAAACACTTCCCCTGTAACCTCACACCTCCCTAGCAGCGGCCTGAGGTGAACAGCACTCTGTCTCACACAGAGCCAGCTGAGCCTGTGAAGCGTGACGACCCCCAAACCACACGGCCGCTGTGCTGGAGCCAGGCTGCAGCTTCCCCCTGCTGGGCTGTGCCTCACTCCATGCGCGTGCAGCCTTTGCTCCCAGGGCCTCACCGGATCGCAGACCTCGCTCTTCTTCAATAACCTGATAGGCAGCAGTCCACCTTCTGCGGGGGTCACTGAATTCTTCGACTCTTTCTCACCTGAGCAACCCACACTGTGGGTTTCATTTTGTCTCTACGTCATCTACTCAGATCCTCCAGGGCCACTGTCTGCCCCCAGGAAGGGCCTGGGTCCTCAGAACTCCCCGCCTCGTCTGACTCAAGCCAGCTGGGAAGCCCTCCACACTTCTCCTGGTCCTGTTCTGAAGGCGGCGTCCTTCAGGGTGAAGCCCAGCACCAGGCCTCCATCCTGCTGGAGGCCAGGATGTCCCAGCAGCAAAGAACAGAACCTGACAGCACTCTCAAGACAAGAAGATGGAATAATAGAGATAACAAAGACACTAAGGCTGCAGCCCCATGTTCCCCTGAGGCTCTTCCTGCAGCTGCAGCCGCTCAGCTCCACTCACAGGAGTGTGAGCCTAGGGCAGAGGAAGACCCAGACCCAGGCCCTGTTCTCCTGGTACCACTGTCTGCTGCTGCCGGGCACAGTTAGAGGCTCTGGCGACTCCCTGCCCTGCTCTGCACACATGTCCCCCAGCGCTGGGGTCTCAGGACCCCTGGGACAAATCCTCAGAAGGTGTCACCATGGAGCTGGCACTCCCACTGCCAGGGGCAGGAGGGTCTCTGACAGTGGCTTGCAGTGCTGTTAAACACAGCCAGGAGCAGCACTGATAGAAATGCTATGCAGTGAGCTGGCCCCTAGCCCTGCAGGCACCTGGAGGTGGGCCGCCTGCGCCCAGAGAAGCTATGCAGTGGGGAGTGCCGGCCCAAAGGCCCTTAGCAGTGCAGGTGCCCAGAGGAGGGCCGCCTGCACCCAGAAAGCTGTGTGGTGGCGCACGCCAGTGCGTGCCAGCCCTCAGGCCGGCCACTGCCGCGCGATCGAGAACTATCACGGCACAGAGAAGCAATGACAATTGGCCCGCCACGTGCCGGCCACGGAGGCCCGCCGGGGATGTGCGTGAATCATCCCGACATGAAGAAACCCCTGGGAATACATGTCGCACAACGGGTCGCTCTTGCTCCTGCCGTTGAGAACCAGAGAGGTCCAGAGTCCTGGACAAGCTGCTGAACAAGGACTTGGAGAACATGAGAATACAAACTATGCCCAAAGACTCAGTGTTCTAGTTGACCAGGGTGATGAGAGCCGTTTGGAAGCTGGAAACCAGAAGGACCTTGCGCAATACCTGGGGAGACCCCTTGGAGGCCATTCTTCCCCTGACAGTACAGGCTGTGGTGGAGGAACAAGTGGAGCTCCGGAGAGGTCTGCACCAAGATTCCTGCTGCCTGTGCTGACAGTTGGGGAGAGGACACTAACTGGTTGGGGGGTTCCAATGTGCTGGGAGGCTGGAGAGAAAAAGCTACCAAAAACGGCTTTTGCCCAGGATGGCTCACTTGAGATGTTAGTAAGAATTGCCTCAGTATTCTATAGCCATGACGAGGAGGAGGCCAAGGAGAGAAAACAAAGAGACTGAGAAAAAGCAGCTGCTTTTGCTGTAGCACTAAGAGAAACAGACCCTAAGTCTGATTCTTGGGCCCCCAAGAAGAACTCAACAACTGCATTCATCTGCTACCACTGTTAAAAGCCAGGCCACCTCAAGAGGAACTGCCCTAAGAAGCCCCCTGGGCCATGACCTATAT